ACGAACTCACAGACCGCGAGATCGTGACCTGGCTGAAGTCGGACGCTTAACCGACTGCGCCACCCAGGCGCCCCGCACCCTCTCTCTAAAAATAAAGTTTAAAATTTTTTAAAGAAGTGAAAACATATGTCCATACAAAGATTTGTACATAAATGTTCATAGCAGCTTTATTTGCAATAGGCAATAACTAAAAATAACTCAAATGTCCATCAACAGGTGAATGGGTAAACATTGTTACAGCCACAGACTCAGCTGTAAAAAATGAGGTACTGATACACATAACATGAATTTGCATGTTTTTCCTTTTATCCCACTAATTAGGCTGAATGAAAGCCAGATTAAGTGGGCACCTAGTTAACTCAGTACGTTAAGTATCCAACTCTTGATTTCGGCTCAGGTCATGATCTCATGGTTCATGAGATTGAGCCCTGCATGGGGCTCCACGCTGAGTTTGGAGCCTGCTTGGGATTCTCTCTCTCCCTCTCTCTCTGCCCCTCCCCCACTTATGTACACGTGCATGCTCTCTCTCAAAATAAACTTTGAAAAAAGGAAGCCAGATTTTAAAAAGAGAGTGCCTATTTAATGATTCCATTTACGTAAAATTCTGGGAAGTGCAAACTGATCTATAGTAACAGAAAGCAGATCAGTATCAATGGTTCCTTGGTGTTGGAAGGAGGGAGATGTGAGGTTGTGGGGAGAGAAAGAAGGAAGGGTTAATAAAGAGGCAAGATACATTTCATTATCTTGATCGTGCTGAAGGCTTCATGAACGCATGTCAAAATTTGTCAAATTATACATTTTAAATATATGCAGTTTATCGTCTGTCAGTTACATCTCAATAAAGCAAGGTTTTTTGTTTTTGTTTTGTTTTTTTTTTCCAACGTTTATTTATTTTTGGGACAGAGAGAGACAGAGCATGAATGGGGCAGGGGCAGAGAGAGAGGGAGACACAGAATCGGAAACAGGCTCCAGGCTCTGAGCCAACAGCCCAGAGCCTGATGCGGGGCTCGAACTCACGGACCGCGAGATCGTGACCTGGCTGAAGCCGGACGCTCAACCGACTGCGCCACCCAGGCGCCCGTTTTTGTTTTTTTTTAAGCATAGGTCCATTTCATGCAGAATTTATCTTTTACCAGTGTACATGGTAGGGGTACTTAAACACCTATGAATGAAGTCAACATGCAAGGAACTGGAAAGCAAGCGATCTGCTTTTGTTGGGAAAATTCCAGTTTGGTTAAAATGTTTTGAAAAAAAAAATTCCACTGATTTTCTTTTCTCGAAACACTTACTTTCCTTGGAAAATAAAGACTGGCATCACAGCTGACGTGCTCGTGTATCTTTTACTCCTTTCAGGACTACCTAAGTATGGCAAAGGAAAGGATATTGGAACCATTCTTTAAAAACCAAGATTCCGGGGCGCCTGGGTGGCGCAGTCGGTTAAGCGTCCGACTTCAGCCAGGTCACGATCTCGCGGTCCGTGGGTTCGAGCCCCGCGTCGGGCTCTGGGCTGATGGCTCAGAGCCTGGAGCCTGTTTCCGATTCTGTGTCTCCCTCTCTCTCTGCCCCTCCCCCGTTCATGCTCTGTCTCTCTCTGTCCCAAAAATAAATAAACGTTGAAAAAAACAATTTAAAAACCAAGATTCCATGAATGAGAGGGAGCCTGTGTAAGATGGTCTACTAAACGTGAATGGGTTTTGAGACAATGAAGTTTGGGTTCTGCCATGCTTAAGTAGCAAATAGTGTGCCTACGTACTGGAGAAACACAAGATTTTCATCATTTTTACATCTCAAAGGTCAGGAAACAATTTAAATGTATGTAATGACACGTATGTGGGTGTTGTTTTAAGTTTCTTGTTTCCTAGTCACAACTGAATAAAACCTATACCAGAGAAGTATCTTGTACTATATGCTTATGTGATCAACTGAAAATAAAATAGTTTATCTCCATTATACTCTTGTGATAGATTTCAAGTCTATGTTAAGTGAAGGAAAGGTTATGACACAGAACCGTGGGCAGTGGGAGCTACGTAGTGAGATGGGGTGATTAGAAATGCAGGGGGTAGAATGACTAGGATATGAAGCACACTCAACAGTCTCAAGGTTGCTAACAGAGAGTTCCAGAATTGGGATGGGATTTGAAGGGAATGGAAAAGCCTAGGGAAGGATTGATAGGGAAGGTAACAAGGAGTTTTTAGAGGACAAGATGGCAAGCAACAGAGAGGGCCAGGTGAGACTGGGTAACTCACTCTTTTCTTATGTCAGTCAGTCTAGGTGGACAGTTTTCTCCAGCAACACTGAGAAGTTCCAGAATCAGAGGTGCAAAAGTGTCCAGAGGAAAGGGTTTTGTGGAAAGGTAGGAAAGAGTAGGCAAACCAGGTGCAGGTCTGCTCCAAGGATGGGTTTTTATTAACAAAAATAAGTTTTCTGAGAAAAAAATCTAAAATCTTACCTCCCTAACACAAGGGTTTCTTTCATTTTAGTAGGTTCCTTTCCATCTTACATCTATACCAAAGAAAACCAAGTTTATTTGTATCTTTCCATTCTCAACTACCCTGTCAAGGTTGCTCTCAAAAGCGTATTAACTCACATTGTCTGTACCAGTTTCCCCAGCACCAGCGGGCTAACTTAATAGCTTCCTTTCTTTTGCACTTAGTTGATTGTCATCAATGACCAACACTTTTCTCGTCTGCTCTCATCTCCTTTTGTGTGAGATACGATCTCCTTTGCCATGATAACATTTTAATAACAAGTGTGGAAACTCAATACAAGAAATCTGTGTCTCGCTCTTCCACCCAATTCTCCTTCAAGATGATTTAGCGGGTCTCCATCACCTTCTTCTCCTGTCTTACACCACCTGTCAGCCTACTGTCATGCTCCATCCCCCAACCCCGGGACACCCACCCATGTCACCATATGGCCCACACTCCACCCTTGATACTTAGGAGTCACAAACCTAGGGTCAACACCACTTGTCGAGGCTGAAACCCTGTACTCTTTAACTTACAGAGTTTGGCACAGCCTCTAACCACCCCCCCACCCCGACCTTGGAATTCTCCCTCAGCTCCTCCTCTACTGCCACCTTCCCCCAACCAAAGAAGTTGGTCTGTGTTCAGTTTGCTCCCATTGCACAATATGTCTATTAAGTAATGGATTTCTAATCAGCCTTCCACTGGAGTCTGGAAGCTTCTCGTTTAACAGTTCGAACCACTTAATGAGTGTCCACTCTGTGCCAAGAATTGTGCAGATAACTGAGGGACGTGTATGTGCTCAGAAATAAACGAATGCTGAAGGCATGAAGACTGGGAAATATGGGTGAGAACTAGCCACATCCAAAATTCCTAATATTGACAATTGCAACTCAGCCCTTGTTATTTTCCAATCCCAAAGAGCAACTGACAACAGGAGACCCCTCCGGGATCTTTAAGCACACCTGTGTTCTGGTAAGGGTGGAAATGAGTGTGTGAGATAGCAAGAAGAACACATTCGATGGTTTTTAAATAGTATGAGGTGACAGGTGAAAGGTCCAAGGTTGGAGAGGATCCAGAGGCAGCTCCCCAACCCTTGAGATCATGGTTTGGGAGACCAATTCCCTCACACAGGAAGATGCCACTCTGTTCTTCCACGCCTTTATTTAGTGACAGCAATGGACAAGAACAATGTCAGGCATAACAGACACCCTGACCCAGCACCGGGGGTGGCAAGCAGGCCCTGCAGGGCCATCGGCACATCCAGCCCCAGCCCAAGATCCAGTCTACCCAGGCCATGTCCCCGAATGGGCAGGAGGCTGTCTGTCCAGTTTGTTTGTGTGGATCAGTCTGTCTGAGTGTCTGAGCCGCTGTCTGCAGGGCCCCCCCATCCTCGGCACATGGTAGGGGCTGCTGGGAGCACAGCGTGGGATCCCCCGGTGGACCACTGGGCCCCGGTGCTGACCATGGGGGACAGGGCCAGGGACTGGAGGTGGCAGGGGGCCAGGCACAAAGTTCACTCCAGGGCCACATCCTACAAAAGAACCAGTCATGATCAGAGTGGGCTTGTGGCCAAGGTGAGGCCAGCTCTGCCTTCAGGCAGCTCTGATCCTCCAGGGCGAGCTTCTCGAGGCTTCTGTTTCCCCATCTGCAAAATGGCAATACCACTTCCCCTACCTCCAAACCAGCAAATTGTGACAATCAATGGATTCATTAATGAGTCTACAGACGCTGTTCTAGACCCAGCAGCGACTGAACCCAGTCCTGGGGGCACAAGGAGCTACCCCTCTCCTCAGCCCACCTGGGCACAAAAGGCTAGGCTGGGGAAGGTGCGTGGGGAACCTGGGAGAGGTGTGAAGGGAGGCCACGGAGGCACCTACCTAAGTGGGGTGACATCGAGAAGTCTTCTGTTGAATTATAACTGAAGAATTCATGGGCTGGGAAGGGCTGGCCTGGGAAAAAGGGGGTGTCCTGGGGCAGGGGGGGAAACAGGGGAGGCGGCGAGGGCTGAGGAATGGGGTAGGGGAAAGGTATGGGAGGGGGCAGAGGAGAAGGCTGGGGTGGGGGCAAGGCCAGCTGCTCCCCGAAGTCTGGGGGCTGCCCATGGCTCCCCTGGAACGGATGATCCGGCTCTGGCCAGTCCTCAATCCATGGGTCTAGGAATGGGATGGTTGTTTGTTTTAGGCCTGAGAGCCAGTTCGCCCTGAAATCTGGCTGTCCACATTTCTCTTCCCTCCTCTCGGAAAACAGGGCCACCAGGTGACAGCACCCTCTGCATCCTACCTAGTCTTCCTCATTCCCTCTCACTTCAGGCCAAGTCCAGAGTACAGTCCTTCTTCCTTACCTTTCTCAAAGTCACAGATCTGCCTTTGCTCTGACTTCCTGCTCCCCTCTAGAGCCTTCTTCCTTTGTATGCCCAGCTCCTGTGTCTGTAACTTTTTCCTCTCCCAGCTTCTCCCCACAGACCAATAAATGAGCTTAAGAGGTCTTCCTTCTGGACAACGTGAGCTCTTCCTGTCATTCTCCTGTCCCAGCAGTCCCATGCCTCCCAAATGTCCAAAAGGGGTATTTTGACCATTTTCCATTCCTTCATCAATTGCTTCTGCCTCTTAACCCAACTCCACACCTTCAGCACTTTTCTGACTACAAGCAACCACTTCCTCTTTTCCTGACAGTCACGTGACACAGCCAATAGACTCTGTCCTCCCTGAAAGTGCCTCTGCTCTCTTTTCCTTTTGTTTCCTCCAGCAGCCCCTCTTCCCTTCTACAGCATGGCCCCCGATCTGCTCTCTCCTTTCACGGTCCACACTCATGCGCTCAGCCGGGCCCTGCTGACTCCAGATCTACTGCACATTTCCCCAGCACCTCAGAGGTCTGCTTGCACCAGACTCACCAATCACATCCTCCCACCCAACTCTTCCTTTTCACATTTCTATTTCTGGAGCTCCAAACCGGGTTCGGAAGACCTGAGCCACCACAAACTAGCCTTATAACCTTTAGAGCATCCCTCTCTTTGCTGAGGATTAGTTCTTCTCATCTAAAAAACAAGGAAACTGAACCATTATGTAATCAAATTCCTAATTCACCTCCCAAGGGCTCCAACTCCTGGCTACCAAGTCCTAGAAGTTCACCTCTATGACATTCCTGGTCTCTCTCTGCCCTCACACCCTATAGTGCTGCTATAAACAGCCTTCTAATATGACTCGTGCCCCCAACTCAACAAACACAATTCTGTAGGTGCTATGTACACAATCGTCCTAGACGCTGGAGCCAAAAGGGATGAGCTGGCAACACGGCAGGAACCTTGCTCTTTGAGGACATGATCCAGGGGGAACGCAGACATGGAAACAATCAGCCACCACGCCCCCTTTGAAGAGCAGGCAGGAACTGAGAGGCTGGTGACACCAACTGAGGGGCTTCTTTGCTTCTGCCACACTGCATGATTACCCTTCCTCCACTTCTGTCTTTCCACCCCCCACCCCCATGCCTAGCTAGAAACACCCCCATTTCTTTCCTATTCACCTGTAGGATAGGGGTCTTTTGACCCGCTACCTTACGTGCTCAAAGGTTATATAAGCTCGTTCACCTACACAGAGATTTCTACATGCTAGACCGTACAGAACCAAAGCTCAGATCAGGATGTTGCTCCTGTGATCTCACTCTCCCCACGGGATGAGGAAGGAGCACTCAGGGGCCACAACAGTCCTTCAAGAGGTCCCTACTCCCCCCCGAGTACCTCTGTCCTGTTCTGTTTCTGAGCCCTGTGCTCTGTGAACCCCCTCTGCATCACTATCTTACCCCCTGTGGTAGGGCTCACCAGAAGGATAGTCACGCTTGGGCAGCTCCACACCCCAGGCGTCGGCCACGTGGGTCAGAAGCAAGTGTGAGAGGTGGCGGTGGGCATGCTGGTCCCAGTGGACACCGTCTCGGTGACGGTGCTGTACCGCATGCCGGAAATGAAAGTGGAGGTCCAGGACATCAAAGCAGTGGTCCCCGGCCAGTGTTGCGCTGTAGAAGTTCCCTTCAACCACATCCCGCCGCAGAGACCCTGCCAGGGGCTGGAGCTGAGTAAGAAAGTGTAGCATCTAAGAGCCACACAATGAAGCAGGGTCGGGGAGGGAAGGCCCTCTATCTACCAGTCAGCTGCCTCCTCCCCCAACCCGAAGGGCCCTGGTCACTTGCCTCTGGCAAAAGGAAACCCCCAGTGACGCGCTCCCCCAAGGGCATTGCCATGTTCCACACCAGCAGGCAAGAGTCTGGCAACACCTGGTCCATGCGCACAAACACCCGCTCCAGGTTCTCTCGGTAGCTCTCCATTGAGCAGCGGCCATACCTGTTGGACAACACACGCAGGGTGGGCGAGGGCAGAGGGTGGAGAGCCTCTGAGCCACACCTCCACCCCCAACCAGTATTTCCCTCTCCCCGCCGCCCCAACCTGGAGAGATCCCAGAGGCAGGAGTTGATGATCACCAGGTCCGGGGCAGGCCCGTATGTCAGCTCCTCCAGGACGCCCTCGAGGTACTCGGAGTAAACGCGGGTGAGGAAGTAGAAGCGCACAAGGTGGTGGCCAGAACCCGAGCAGAACTGGCGGACCTCCCGGTACTGTGTCCCGTTGTGCAGTTCACCCAGCTGACCCCCAGCCACCAGTTGGTCCTGTTCAAAGCTCAGCTCCCCCTGCCCGCCCCCCCCAACCCAGCTGGTCAGACCCAGGCCAGGGAGGAAGACCCTGCCAGGCGAGGGTCTGTGCCCACCCACCACTGGCATGACTATGGAGCTTCCCTCACCTTGGCTTTCAGCTGAGCAGCTGTGAGCAGGGAGTCCCTCTGGAGCAAGAGCACTAGGTCCTTGTACACAGACCGCTGGACTGCAGGGAGACAGAGATCCTGAGGCTAAGTCAGGCCTCACCCCACCCTAGCTCCTCCTAAGTCCAGGCCTCATTTTCCCAAGGTTAGGGCTGCCCACCACTACCTCTGTGGAGTGTTAACAGAGATAGGAGAAAAGGTAAGGTTAAAAAAATCCTGTATTACCTCCGCCTTCTGGCCACGCACCACCCTCAACTTAGTACGCAGCGACCCAAGATCACCTGGTAGAGATAAGTAGTCCCAGGAGACCAGGAGAGGGACAACACAATCTACTGCTCCCATACAAGGAGTCCCGTGGGAGACTGTCAGGGAAAAAAAGTGCTGAACAAGGACGGGGTCAAAAATTTGACAGGCTACATCTGTCGGGACACCTGTGGATGGTGTGTGGGAAAATAAAAGTAAACCTACTGGCCTGGAACAGGCTAAGGGTAGAAAGAAATTTGGGATGTTGACAATGGGTCCAGTCATAGGAAACAGACTGAAGGTGCGAGGCTGGGTAGTGTGAACCTAGAAGGGCACTCACTTGAGTCCCCCAAGATGACCACGAACTTGTTGTGTAGCAGCTGCTGGACTTCTGAGGCCTGGAAGTGGACCATGGCGCTTCGCAGCGGGAGGCGTGGCTGCTCGTTGTCCAGACAGAAGACCATGCCGCCGCTGCCAATGACGGGCTGCGGGGAGAGGCCACTAAGCCGCGGCGCGCGTGGGGACTCAGGACAGGTCGGGCCCAGGGCCCGCTAAACGAGAGCTGCGCCGGCCCCTCCAGGGCTGCTCAGGGCTACAGGGGAGAGGTGGTGGCGGCAGAGGGGGACTCATGGTGGCGCGTGCCTCGGTGACACTTGGTACCGGAGTCAGGGGGTCTCTGGCCTGGGCACCGAGGCGCTTCCCGCGCGGCGCCGCCCTGAGCCCCGCCACGTGCCCGCCGCCGCCCCGCGCATGCGCGCGCCCGTTCGTGCCAATTACCGAGTCCCGGGGCTCTGCACCGTTCACCCGCGACCGGGGCAGGCCCGCACACCGCGCGCCTCGCCCACTGAGGGCTCTGGGCCTAGCCTCATGTTCCCGTGCCCCGAGAGGCCGGTCGGTTCTGCACAGCCCGCGCCCGGCAGAACCCGTGCGTGCCGGTTAGCCGTCGGTGCGCAGCCCAGAGCCCAGCGCTCTCCATGCGTGCGTCGCGGCGGCCCCGACGGCGCCTGGAGCTTCGGCGCCCCGGGCGGCGACGTTCACAGCTTCCACTTCCGGTCACCCATGTCCCGCCCTGCGCGACCCCCAGCGCCCGAGGGGACAAGGAGGCGGCGTGGGTAGCCGCGGCGGAGAGCAGGAGTCAGGGCCGGGCCCACCCGGGCGGGCACGAGGCCCGGGTGTGGGCGGGGGCGCGGCGGGGGCCGAGCGCAAGTTGCCCACAGTGGTGATGGCCGTGGCGGCAGCCTCACCACGTGACCCGGACGGGCGGAAGCGGAAGTGCCGGCCCGGAGCCCGCGCCCGGCGGGTGTCTCCTTTGCGCTGCCCAGCAGCCGCTTGCACCAGCCATGGACTGCTACACGGCGAACTGGAACCCGCTCGGGGACTCTGCCTTTTACCGGTGAGACCCCCCGCCCTCCCGCGCGCGGTCCGGCTTACCCCGCTGGCCCGCCGACTAGAGTCTTCGGGCGGAGCCGGCGGCGCGCGCCCCCGTCACTGTGGGCGCTGGGGTCCGCCCCTCGCCGGCTCTCCCCCGGCGTCCACCACTTAACGCACAGCCGCCTAATGGCCAAGGGGCCGGGCCTTCCCCAGATCCAGGAAGGAAACTGAGGCAAGCACGGCGGTCACAGAAGTAGAGCAGCGTCTAACGCTGAAGCCCCGATCTGTCAGCCTCCGGAAGGATGCTCAGATCACGTTGAGGGAGGCGGCCTGCGGGTGACAGCGAGTGTTTAGTCTCCTGCGGCGAAGTGCTGCCAAAGTCAGACTACAGGGGCGCTCCGCGGGAGGCGGGATCGCACGGCGGGCGGGCGGGGTAACAGCAAACCCAGGCTGGGAGAAGGGGGCAAGTCGTTTGTGAATTCAGGAGCAGCGCGAGTGAGGACCCTCAGGGGTAACCCTCTCCTGGAAGTCGTAGAGTCCTAAACTATTGAAATGAAGTGTAAACCGGTCGCATCATTACCCTGATAAGGATTTTTCAATGGCGTCCCTTCTCTGTAGGTTAAAACACAAACTTCTTCTATTGGAACATCTGTAAGTCAGCCTCTATTTGTCTCCAGCTCCATTTGCTCCTCTCCTACCCAAGTCTTGTATTCGAGTTGCACAGAATTGCAGGACTCCAAAACACCGCCATGTTTCATGGCTTCTCGATGTTTGCACCAGCTTTCAGTTCCTTCTGTGGGTACTGCCATTGCCCTCTTTATCTCACCGGAGAATTCTTACTCATATTTCAGGACTTGGTTCAAGGTTTCTTCCTGAAACCGTCGCTCTTCCAGTCCTAAGTCAGCTGACTTTCTTGGGCTTCATAGGGCCCAGTGTTACTTCTGTTATGAATGGTACAGTAGAGCAATATTTACATAGGTTTCTTATGGTATAAACTAAGTTCCTTGAGGACCAAGACTATGTTTATCTCTTTTTTTTTTTTTTTTAATTTTTTTTTTTCAACGTTTATTTACTTTTTGGGACAGAGAGAGACAGATCATGAACGGGCGAGGGGCAGAGAGAGAGGGAGACACAGAATCGGAAACAGGCTCCAGGCTCTGAGCCATCAGCCCAGAGCCCGACGCGGGGCTCGAACTCACGGATGGTGAGATCATGACCTGGTTGAAGTCGGACGCTTAACCGACTGCGCCACCCAGGCGCCCCTATGTTTATCTCTTTATGTCCAGTGCATTTTTAGGACAATGCCTGCTGTGTAGTAATCCCATAAAGTTTTAAGAATACTTTTGATTGCACCTAAAGGTCAGAAGATACTGCACTGGGGTCGTATTTCAGTACAAAATACCCTGTTGTGTTAGTGAAACTCTATACTATTTTTATTCACATGTTAAAAGTTTTCAGCGTAATTTTTGATAACACAAAATGTTAGCTCTCAACACTTTCAAGATGGACAAATGCTTTGTGGCAATTTTTAGAGCTCGGTTGCTTTTGTTGTTTATAATTATTATCTCTTGTAAATATGCATATACAATGTGAAAAAAAATGCAGAAACTTAATGAAGAAGCAGTAAAGTCAGTAGGAAGTAACAATGATTTCAACTGTTTTTTTTCTTGTGGAGAAGGGATGTCATTTGACAGAAGTAGCCATATGACTTAGTGTTTACACATACAGCATACCCTTTTAAAAGTATGAAAACACACGTTGTGTGTTTTGAAAATACATATTGCCTACACAGGTTTGTTAAATCCGAGAATGCTGAAGACAAAAGACGTCATTACCACAGAGCTCCTGTTTATCACACAAAGTCTTAGCCTTGTTGATGCATCAGGAAAGTTTTAAATGAATGTAATTGTTGAGTATGTGCCATAGACATGACCTGTCTGGCTAGCCTCCCCTTCCTTGTGCTGTACTGCCAGAAAGGGTAAAGGTCTAAGCCTTTGACTTTTGCTAATGAATGTTGAGCCATTCTCTGTTCTAGACACTGTGTTAAGTATCTGATATGTATTAACTTGTTTGTTTCATGACCCCATGGGGTAGTTATCATTAGCCCCATCTTACTGATGGGGAAACTGAGACGCAGAGAGATTAGGTAGACAGGTTACCCAGCCAGTAAGCGGTGGAGGCAGGCTTTGAATCCAGTCTTTTAGAACCTTTAAATGTGTTAAAGCATAGGGTTGTTTTTTTTTTTTTTTTATGTTTATCTATTTTTGAGAGAAAGAGAGCCAGAGCATGAGCGGGAGTGGGGGAGGGGCAGAGAGAGAGGGAGACACAGAATCGGAAGCAGGCTCCAGGCTCTGAGCTGTCAGCACAGAGCCTCACTCTGGGCTCGAACTCACAAACCCCGAGACCATGAGCTGAGTGAAAGTCAGATGCTTAACCGACTAAGCCACCCAGGTACTCCTTTGGTTTTGTTTTGTTTTGTTTTGTTTTATTTTGTCTTGTTTTAACAGGAAAATATAACAGCATATTCTAGCTTCACCAGAGTGGAAATTTTTTTTTTTTAAGTTTACTTAAGTAACCTCTACACCCAATGTGGGGCTCCAACTCATGACCCTGAGTTCAAGAGTCGCATACTCTTGCAATTGAGCCAGCCAGGCTCCCCCAGAGTGGACATGTTTTAAATGCAACTATTTCGGGGCGCCTGGGTGGCGCAGTCGGTTAAGCGTCCGACTTCAGCCAGGTCATGATCTCGCGGTCCGTGAGTTTGAGCCCCGCGTCAGGCTCTGGGCTGATGGCTCAGAGCCTGGAGCCTGTTTCCGATTCTGTGTCTCCCTCTCTCTCTGCCCCTCCCCTGTTCATGCTCTGTCTCTCTCTGTCCCAAAAATAAATAAACGTTGAAAAAAAAATTTTTTTTTAAAATAAATGCAACTATTTGGTTTTATTCATATTTGTGCATAGCCTTATGCCAGGATATGTTCCAGTAAGTAAATTAATGATAAACAAGTGGCAGGCATTGCTTTTCAAATCCTTTCTACAGGATAGGATACTTTTACATTGGAAGTAATGTTTTGGAAAGTTCACTGAATTTGGGAATGCAAGGAGAGGGAGTGGTTACTAGTTCCTATGGAGTTCCAGAATTTTAGCCATTTTTATCCTAAAAACCAAACTTGGATTGATCCCATTGATTAATTTTGCTCAACCCTTTGCCAGGCTGTGTGTAAATAAAAAGACACTAAAGTGTCTTAGTGTGACCAATAAAAAGACAGACCCTGTCTACTCTCATGGAGCTTATAGCCAGTAGGAGAGATAGTTGATAACCATTAATGACTTAGTATTTGTTTAATCATAATCACCATAAAGAAGAGATATAGGGTCCTAAGAGAGTATATAGAATAGACTGGAAGTTAGAGGTAAAGAAAACTTTCTGAAGGAAATATAATTCCCCCATCCAGGGGATGAGTAAACGTGAGTGCAGGGACTGTGATGAAAAAGAGCATATACAAAGGCCCTGAGGCAGGCAAGACTAGGACACCCTCGATTGTCTAAACAGAGAGCCAGTGTGGCTGGATTGCCACAGGTGAGTGTGTGTGTGTGTGTGTGTGTGTGAGTGTGTGTGTGTGTAACTTCTAGAGGCATTAGGGAGGACAAGTTAGAAGGGACAAGCAAATATGGAGGCAAGGAAGACTGGTGAGGGGGCTGGAGGAATAGACGAGGGAGAAGTTGATGGTGGCAGTATGGTAGAAATGGAGAAAAGGGGATGCATCAGATATTTAGGGGACAAAATCAAAGGAGATTGTGATAGGTTGCACTCAGTAGGAAGGAGGTAGAGCAAGGAATTGAGGATGATTGGGGTTTTGGCTTAAGATAATGAGAAAGGAAGAGTGAGTTTTGTGCGGAAAGGGTTAGCTTGATTTGGGGCACATTATCTCAGGTACTTTAGAAACATCCCTTATGGTAAGGGAAAGGAGGCAAGATACATTATGTTCTCCTAAAACTCTTCTTAGAAAAGGGCTTGACTATTTTAGTAGGATTGCGGGGGGTGGGGGGGGTGTAACACGTAAACATGAACTTTTAAGATTTTGTCTTTAAGTAATTTCTACACCCAATGTGGGGCTTGAACTTAACGCCCCCGAGATCAAGGGTCGCATGCTGTACCAACTGAGCCAGGTGCCCCTAAACACAAACAATTTTAAAAATTGTGGTTAAATATACATAATATAAAATGTCCTGCCTTAACCATTCTAAGGTACACTCCAGTAGTAGTAAGTACATTCGTGTTGTGCAATGAATCTCCAGAACTTTTTCATCTTGCAAAATTGAAACTCTATAACCATTAAACAATAACTCCCCATTTTCCCCCTCCCCCAGCCCTGGTAGCCACCATTCTGGTTTTTTTTTTTTTTTTTAATGCTTATTTATTCTTGAGACAGAGACAGAGTATGAACAGGGGTGGGGCAGAGAGAGAGGGAGACACAGAATCCGAAACAGGCTCCAGGCTCTGCACTGTCAGCACAGAGCCCGACGCGGGGCTCGAACCCACGAACTGTGAGATCATGACCTGAGCTGAAGTCGACGCCCAGCCGACTGAGCCACCCAGGCGCCCCGCCACCATTCTGTTTCCTGTTTCTGTTTCTGTTACTTCCACCTCGTGGCTGTTGTGAATAACGCTGCTAGGAACATGTGTGTGCAGATATCCCTTCGAGACTGTTCTCAGTTCTTTTGGATACTGAATGGAACTGCTGGATTACATGTAATCCTGTTTATTTTTTGGGGAGGAATTCTCATACTTTTTTCCATGGCAGCTACACCATTTTACATTTCCAACAATGTACAAGAGTTCTTCAGTAGTATTTATTTTTGAGGCAGATTGGAATCGAAGGATTTCAGGGGTGATGGTGGGCTCTCCTTCGGGCCTGAGGATTTTGGAATAAGTAGATTGTTCCCCAAGGCTAGACTTGATGTGCCCCTTCCTCCCCAGTGGTTCCGTAGCCCCGCGTGGACCCTTGAGGCAAAGGCTGGAGATAA